ATTGTCGTAACTGATTAAACTGTGATCTCGTTTTCTATTTCTATTTGCTCACGCAAATAGAACTTCTTAGTTGGATCTCCTACTCTATATGTACAATCTTTCTGGTTTTCCTACATCATGTTTCGAGCCCACTTTTTTCGTGACTGGCCGCTTGAGTTTGATCTTCTTATTACTCCATGGCAGGGTTGGGAAATTTAGTGCTGCGAGAGGTTTCTTATATTTCCTATGTATAAAACATATAATACTGTATAAAACGTATAAGATATTATATATACGTTACAATTCTAAAACCCATTTCAAATGAAATACAACACAGTGAGTATTGCATAATTAGATCACTAGAGTTAACTCAGTTAATATTCACACATAAAAATAAAAAGAGAGTTGCCTTTTTTATTTATATATCTTCTTATTGGTCCAGCAGGTACGGCCTTTATAGTGGTATATCATACATGATTTCATTATTTCATATGCGATAGCTACGACAGGCAGCTTTAAACTCACGAAAATAATAAGCGTTTAAATTCTAAAATATTATTTATTGAAAGTGTATCAAAAATAATATAAATAAAATAAGTAATTAAACTATAGCCTATCTAAATACATTAACTATTGTTAAGTTAGGAAATTTGTCATTTGTCACATCGCACAGGACTTTTGATTTATAATTGGCTGATTGCTTAGTACACTCTGCTTAATACATCGATATACCTACTTATTTTACAGTTTTATTTTTATTTTGTGAAATGCAGTTTATGATTAGTAGTACGAAGTGCGAACAGTGAAGCGCCATTTTACTATTATACATGATTGAAACCTACGATATATTATACACAGTTTCATATATGAAACCACGTATAATATGTTGAGTTTGATACACGTTCAATCCTGTTCCGTGGTTTCCACCGAGGATTGGAATCAAAGAATAAAGAGAAACAGGAGAGAATGTTTGGTTCTAAGCAAGCGAACGAAAGTGACTATATATACTAGCGTAAAAAGTGGACGCTTAAGATGGCTGTCATGACATACATCTATCCGCGAATTAACTACTCCCAGTGCTCCCACTATTAATACATTCCCTTCTGTTTCCCTTTACTCTTTAATTGGAATCGGATTAGAGTTAGATTAGAGTCAGGTTGCCTGTTTTCATCTGATCAGAGTTACACACTAGGATTGCAGCAAAATTAAACGTTATCAACTGATCAACTGTAAAAAGTCAGCTGCAACTTTGTTTCATTGTCATCCCAAGTAACTGACTTCTTTTTTTTAATTTTTGTCCATTATTATACAAAAATAAAAATACTCATGTGAAAATATACAACACATTTTATCACGTTTGATAAGCACAATTGCACAGTTTGAATTCAAATGTTGATAACATTACTACGAACTTCAATTTTTATAGCTCCTGCACACCGAACGCGGAAACGCTTGTGATGTAATAGTTAATAAGATTACAGCTCCTACATATTCATTGATTACCGCGTCTTATTTTGTCATGCGGTAAATGTTTCCGCGTCCAGTGCAGGAGCCATAAAAATTGAAGTTATTCGTAGTAATTCGTAAAGTCATTATTTCCACCGAATCTCATTTGAACCCTACCTTAAAATTTTATTGGATTCGTGATGTTTTCATCGTAAAAGGCTCCTAATGTGACTTTAAGGGTGAAATCATACGATGCGGAATAGGACTGTGGAATAGAATACGCATCAAGTCAATCAATCAGTGCTTTTGATGTTGCGGAATAGAAAGTGCGTCATTGTTCTTGTAATAAACCGTCGTATTTTGAGAGATTAAAATAATTTGATGCTGATTGATATGATAAAATTGCGTAATGTTGAGAACGAAGCATAATGATAAAATCTGAGTACATAAATATAGATACCAAGATAAAAAAAATAATAACGCATTACGTGCGATTTCAGTGTACACTTTTCTATCACGTAAGTTTTGTGTGCTATGTTCACAATGCGAAAAAATAGTAGTAGCATCATTAAAAATTTCAGTTCAAAAAATTGTTATGAGAGATTATAAATTTATTGTAAAACATTAAATACTACAATGATTGTTTTTACAATTTGAAAAATTATTTTATTTTAATAAGCAAATTATTAACATGAAATTAAGAAGTTTTAAATATTCATATTGATACGTCTTTGATCACGTGAACATAGCACACAAAATTTGCGTGATTGAAAAAGTGCGAAATAGCGCTAATTGGTAGCTTCAATGATGCATTCCCTATTCCGCAGTCCACATCTTATTCTGGATGGTGTGATTTTACCCTTATCTCGATACGAATCCTCGTGAAACTTAGTGTGTAGCGAGGAAACAATTTCTGCCACAATATCATTGTGTGTTATTTATTTTAGAATTTAAATTCAATATGTTTAATTATAAATATTACGTATGTATGACAGAATGTGTATATTTAATTAAAAAAAAATTCACATAATATATTCTCATATTATATTAGACAAATATTTAAAGTATTATTTCATTTTTATTAATTTATCTCACTTTCTTTCTTTACTTTGCATGTTGAAATTTATTATATATATATATATTGGGAGTACAAATAAGTTTCCGCCGTTTGCAAGACAGCTAATAAACTATAGTTAAAATTATTTGATAAAACGACATATCGTAAGATTGGACATTCGGCAACATCATAATCTTGAAATATTAGCGATTTTGTATCAGCATCATATATTTTTTTTTTGTACGAAAATGTCGAGTTTTGAGTCAAATAAGCATCATTTGCGGGAACTTTTGATTTACTTCTTTAATTTGAAGAAATCTGCAGCTGAAGCTCATAGATTGCTTGTAGAAGCATATATGGTGATGCTGCCTTAAGTGAGAGAAGTTGTCGTGAGTGGTTTCAAAAGTTTAAGAACGGTGAATTTGACGTCGAAGACAAAGAATGTAGCGGAAGGCCGAAAGTATACGAAGACGCGGAATTGGAAGCATTATTGGATGAAGATTCGTGCCAAACGCAAAAAGAACTTGCACTTACATTAGGAGTGACTCAACAAACAATTTCATATCATTTGAAATCATTGGGAATGATTCAAAAGCAAGGGAATTGGATTCCATATGAACTGAAGCCGAGAAATGTTGAACGCCGATTTTTCACATGTGAAATTCTGCTTGCCAGACATAAACGAAAGAGTTTTTTGCATCGTATAATCACTGGTGATGAAAAATGGATCCACTACGATAACCCAAAGAACAGGAAATCATGGGGACAGCCAAACTTCAACTTTGACAGCCAAACCAAATATTCATGAAAAAATTCATGTTGTGTATTTGGTGGGATCAGCTTGATATCGTGTATTAGTTGCTCAAATCGAACGAGACCATTACTGGGGCTCTCTACCGAACACAATTGATGAGATTGAGCTGAGCACTCAAGGAAAAACGCGCCCACTACTACTCCAGGCATGACAAAATTATTCTCCTGCATGATAATGCTCGACCACATGTTGCGGCGCCGGTCAAAACCTACTTAGAAACACTCAAATGGGAAGTTCTACCCCACCCATATTCTCCAGACATTGCTCCTTCCGATTACCACTTGTTCCGATTGATGACGCATGGCCTGTCTGAGCAGCACTTCACATCATATGAAGATACCAAAAATTGTATTGATCGATGATTGGATAGCCTCAAAAGATGAAGCGTTCTTTTGACGCGGTATCCACATGCTATCAGAAAGATGGGAAAAAGTAGTGGCTAGCGATGGCCATTACTTTGAATACAACATTATGTACCGTTCTTTCACAATAAATGCTTAATTTTTGATTAAAAATGGCGGAAACTTATTTGTACTTCCAATATTATATATTTAATACATAAAATTTTCTAATTAAAAATGCACAAAATAAATTTTATATTACAAGAATTGACCCACTTAATGCTAAAAAATTGGATAGAAACAAATTTTTTAGCGTCAACCATAGATAAAATTACATAGAATGAACATGAACAAAACGAGCGTCAAGCGTTTTAGCGTCACATGAAATGGCTCTTTAAAAGTGCCTTTTCATGCTGACTTTCGACTATCATTTTCAGCATCAAAGGGCCAGTTTCCAACATCGTTCCGTCGATTAATTTTATCACCAGAATAGCCAACAACAAGATTTAAAAATCTGTCTTTCTCTTATTCTTGTTAGTAATAGTAAAGAAAAAGTGTTATGTGGAGATAATAAATAAATCATTGAAATGTAAATAAAATATATTTGATTAGTTTTTACAAATAGTATTTTCGAAATTAGATTAGAGATGAGTTTTCAATTTAGTAGTTTGCAATACTCAAAGTTAATTGGCGGATAAAATACCAACGTTGGCGTTGGTGAAAAATGACTCCAAAATAAGTCACGTGATTATTTTATTAATTGATGATTGCAGTATAGGCTCTTGCATAATGCATAGTGCATAAGAGAATCAACCAATCGAAAATCTTTTCCATGAACTGAGGGAAATGGAAAAATTGTGATTAGTTGATTTGCTTATGCATTATGTATTATGCGTTATGTATTATACAAGAATCTGTGCTGCGGCCATAAAGCAGGGAGCATAGACTCTTGCATAATGCATAGCACATAATGCACAAGAAAATGAAGTTAAAGTTCTTTATTTCCTTTCTTTCCCTGAAATAAAGGACTCTTGGTTGATTTTGTTATGCCTCATGCATTATGCAAGAGCATAAGTAAATTAACCAATCAAACTCTTTCCTTTCCTCCCATTTTATAAAAAAGGAGAATTTTGATTGGATGACTCCCTTATACACTATGCATAATGCATAACACATAAGAAATTCAACCAATCAGAGTTCTTTATTTCATGAAAAAGAAGGAAACGAAGGACTTCGATTGATAAATTTGAGATTCATCAATTCTATCACGTGACTTATTTTGACGCCAAAAATGAGCGTTGAGCGTCAGTATGAAAAGGCACCTTAAGTGTGTACTATTGTCGCACTAGGCCGCCGACTGATGGCGTTAATCTTGATGGCGTAAACCGTTTTCGAATTGACATACTTGTAATCGCGAGCGAAGTGATGTTTTTTCGATTTGTTCATTTCAAATAAAATCGCGTTAAGTGAGTATAATTTTATTGATTTTTGAAGTGGCTAAAATAAATACACACATACATACACACACACACACACACACACACACAATTATCTTGTAATAAGAAATTTCAGACATGTATTTTTTAGAATTTAATATATCTATAATTATTTAGAATATATTATCACTCCACCACTCCTAAAATTTTAATAAAAATATAGTCATTTGACGCATTTTTACTCAAAAGAATCTGGCAATAAATGCAGCGGTCGGCTTTGTGAATTTAAGTTATTAATCGTTAAAATTGGAGACTTTAGAGGTTAAAGTATCTGTCATCCCGACTCAATATTGCGCTATGTATACGTTCTGCTTTAATTACACAAATTCACTGTTTTAAAAATACAAATTCATTGCTTTAAAAACACAAATTCACTGCTTAAAAAACAAATTCACTGCTTTAAAAACAAAAATTCATTGCTTTAAACACACAAATTCTTTGTATTAGCAATGAATTTGTTTTTAAAGCAGTAAATTTGTTTGTGAAACAGAGAATTTGTGTTTTTATAGCAGTGAATTTGTATTTTGTGACGCAGAGAATTTGTTTTTAAAACAGTGAATTTGTGTAATTAATACAGAATGTATACATAGTGCTATATTGAGTCAGGATATCTTAACTTCTGAAGTCTCTAACTTTAACGCTTAGTAATTCGACTCATGAGGTTGATCGCCGCATTTTTCTGCAAGATTCTTTGGTTTGGTTTTAAATGAAGACGCATCGAATAATTTTGATTAAGATTTTAGGTGGAGTGGAGTATTCTAAATAATTAGGGAAAAATGGGGAAACATTATGCATAATTCTAAGGGAAATTTATTGCTCTAGAATGGTTTTCCAAGTTTAAAGTATATAATATATAAATATGAAAATAGAAACTATAAACATTCTTCTACCATTACATATCCTCATATCGAACAGATTTTCTTACAATAAGATTGTATTTAATCAAGAGGAAAAAGCGAAAAAATTTCTCGTGCGTTGAGTAATTGTGCACAAAACAAAAATCGTAAAAAATGAATGAATTGTGGAATATTGACAGAAAATATATTCATTATATTGCAACATAAATATATTTTAAACATATATTGTATATATTAAGAAAAAATACAAAACGAATATATATAATAATACACATAGACTTTGGCAAAATGAAATAGCAAAATAAAATAGTAAGGTCAAGAAGAAACAAAAATTGGTGCTAATCATACAGTATATGGAAGATAACTGTGCGCACTTTCAAAACGCTTGTCCGCCGCGATCTGACTCGATATGAAATACGATTACTTCAACAATTCCTAACCGAACTTAATAAATAAGCTCAAAAGATGCACATATAATAACGTACTTTAATAACGTATGCAACTTTAAACAAACAAATTAAAAATACGGACTTACCATCTTATTTTCTAAATGCTAAAATAACAAGAAAAGATGTGATTTCACTTTTTTGTATTTCTCTGGCTAGCAATGTATTTATGTTTCTTTTGTAGTTATATCTTATACTAAGAGACCTCCTACGTAAAAATTTCACCACGGTGATGTCTTCATCTATTGAAAAAGTACCAGGATGTGTACAATTACTCGCTGCGCATAATTCCTCCACTTCCCCTACCAATATATCTTTAAAACGGCGATAAAAAATTAATGAAATTTTTCTAGATATTGTTATAATTAACATATGTCTGATAATGTATTGTATATGTATTTTACAGTTTTGTAAAATTCATCACACTCTTTTTAAAAAAAATGCTCGAAAATTTCATACATTGACAAGGAATCATTGTACAACAAGTTTGTGAAAATCTTTGTATCAGTAAAAGTTGACAGCATAAGAAGTAAGATAAGGAAAAAGGCAAGATTGTATCGGTCATAAGTTTCAAGAAATTTAGTGTTATAGTGTTACGGTAAAAGTTCTAGAATGACTAAAAAAATATTGATTTATCTAAAAAATGCCTGAGACAAAAATAATAGAGTTTTAGAAAAGTTATCAGATGATGATATTAATTTGATTTTGAAATGACTTTGGAAAATGCTTTTAAAATCAACACAAAAATCTTAAACTCCCTATTTTTTATAGCACATCTTTATAGCTAACGTTGAAACGTTTCCAGAACACTGGTTCGTTTAAGATTTTTGTATTGATTTCGAAAGCACTTTCCAAAGTCAAATTAATATCATCATTTGATAACTTTTCTAAAACTCTATTATTTTTGTCTCAAACATTTTTTAGATAAATCAATATTTTTTTAGATATTAGTCATTCTTTTACCATGCACTAAATTTCTTGGAATCTATACGCTCTTGTCTTTTCTCATAATTTACATCTTATGCTGTCAACTTTTACTGATATCAAATATTTTCACAAACTTGTACAATCCAAAATGGTCCCTTGTCAGTGTATGAAATTTCTGAATTTTTTTTTTAAAGAGAGTGAATTTACAAAGTGAATTTTACAAAACTGTAATACATATACGATACATCTTATACTATCAACTTTTACTGATATCAAGGATTTTCATTAACTTGTACAAACCGAGATGGTCTCTCTGGCAGAATTGCATTTATTGAACTATGATCTATGCTATTCAATTTAATTAAAAATTTTAATTATGTTAACGATGTTAAGATATATTGTTTCTAATCATAGATTGATATAGAATGTTAACCACAAAATTGAAGAAGCTAAGTATTCAAAAAGTATTAAAATCGTTTCAAATTTTGTTCATGATTCATTATTCTATTATATATATATATATGAAATTAAAATTCATTTTAATTCTTAAAAGACAACATCAAGTATTACTCGATTATACTATTATTTTTAAAGAGTTCTATATCAACTTCATGGAAGTTAGCTTTTTAATTATATTGTTTAAATTATATTAAATTGATTAAATTTTGGATATATGTTGTCCTCATCATTCTGAACAAATGTCTTTGGGATTAATCTCTTTCTACGGCTAGCACTACAGATTCAAATTCAAACCATTTTTAAAAAATTGAGTTTCCATGTATTATTGA